GGGACCTCGGGTCCTGCCCTGAGTCCTGCCGGGGCGCCATGCCCTAATGCGCGCCTGCTGTTTTCAGTTTGCCTGGAGGGCGAGGGGGCCGCGAAGGGGGGCGCCCGGGAGGTGAGGTTCCCGTGTCCTCTTGGTATGTGGGAGCTCGGACACTGCGATCCCAAGAAATGCACCGGGAGGAAACTGGCCCGAAAAGGGTTGCTCCGAACACTACGCCTCCGCCAGAGATTCCCGGGCCTCGTCCTCAGTCCTCTGGCTACTGAGTATGTCTCTCCAGCTGACAGGTAAGTCCCAGGTGAGGCCTACATCCAGGTGGCCCTGCTGCCTGTTTGGGAAGCCCGTGGAGGTGCAGGCTGTGAGGAAAAAAAAGAGCGGTTGCTTCAAATGCTGTAGTGGTGGTATACTGGGGAGGAGAACATTTTAACCACTGATTCGTGGCCAAAACTGTCATACAGAATAAATATGGCCTTCCTGTTACATTACGTTGATGCATGAACATGAGAAGTAGCGCCATTTTATTAAATCAGGTTACCATTTTTACACAGCTGGTATCAGGTGAAAAAAGCATCCGTAGATCCCAATGAAAAATCGAAGTATGTGGTTTGTAGGTTAATTTCTTCAGAATCACGGGCCTGTAGCTACAGTATAATTTATGATGCCATATTCATCAGCTAGGCAGCACTATGCATTAACTAAAAAACTTACTTGGGGGAAATGTTGAGAATGTTCTTCAAAAGTTCCTGCAGAATTTTTATAAAGATGTATTTACTCAGAGAAAAGATTAGTCTTTAGAAGTTGGCGGAGAGCCTAAATCTGAACCTTGGTGTACGTTTAAGAACATTACTATTAACCACACTCTTCACATTATTAAACCTAGAATTTTGCACTTTCAGTTTGAAACGTATGGATATTTTTTGCCATATGCATGTTCAGAGTAAAAGCATGTTACTATTCTTTCTCATTGTATCAGATCATTGTAAAACATCTGCTTTTTGATTGACAAAAAGGGGAGGCTTATATGCAAATTTGTTGCCCGTACAAAGTGGCAATTGTAATTCTCACTTCAACTTATTTCATCAATACAATGATAACTTTTCAAATACAGTGATGTTTCTTTTTTCAGGCATGTCATTGCTCAGAGCGGAATTGCAGTCATAGATTGCTCATGGGCCAAATTAGAAGAAACTCCCTTTAAGAGAATGAGAGGAACTCATCTACGGCTGCTGCCTTACTTGGTGGCAGCAAATCCTGTAAACTATGGTCGGCCATGCAAGCTGTCCTGCGTGGAAGCTTTTGCTGCAGCTTTTTGCATTGTTGGTAGGCTGCAACATCTCTGATGTGAAATATGTTACCAGCAATTCTTACTATATCAGTATAGTAATTCTTAATATATCAGCAGAAATGATCTGCAATAGAATAAACTGTAATGCTGTTCCACTGTGATCACTCTGAGTTTGGAATCAGATTGTCTAGCTTTCTTCCAAGTACTTGTATCCGGTAGCATAGAGGTATCTGTGGGGCGTTGATGTCAGCTACTAAACAGGATCCATAAACTGATGATCCTGGTTTTGTCAGAATGGCACTTAATGTTAGAAAAACTGTTAAAAAATAAAAAAACAGAGAAGGGAGACTGAATCCTTAGGCACCTTTGTCTTATTGAGACTAACAGCTGTCTGTTAACAGGGTCGGTTCTGGTTAAGAACAAAAGAAATTGCCCCCTCTTGTGTTTTTTTGCAAACACATCACAGAACTTTTTTGACAATTGAAGAGACATGCTCTACTACAGACAAATCTTACCTTTTCAAAATCTTGTATGTACAACTGCTGTCTTACTGGAGGACTGTGGGAGCTAGAGCTTGAATCGTTCATTACCTGTACAAAATATTTCTATATGTACAAACTATTTTTATATAACATTCACTAAAAGACTATGAACTTTTCTTGGATTCAGTTAGGTATTTCAAGTTAAATTGAAATTTGAAAAGATTTTTAATATTTTTAAAAGTCTGAATCCCTGAACTCTGAAAAAATGCTGGTAAACATCTCACTATTGTAGTGATACATGGGTATGTACTGAACTTAAATACCTGTAAGTTGAGTGAAATGTCACACTGAAAAAGAAAACTGATCATTTATTTTGTTTTAGGATTCCCAGACCTAGCCACCATTCTTCTAAGGAAATTTAAATGGGGTAAGGCATTTATTGACTTGAACAAAAATCTCTTGGAAAAATATGCAGCCTGTCATTGTCAGGAAGAAGTGCTGAGAGTTGAAAAGGACTTTTTAGCCAGTGTCCAAGAAACACAAGAAGAAATAGGTAAGAAAAAACACAGACACACCATACACCTCCTTTTCCTAACTAGTTTCCTTACAATCTTTTCCATTAATCTCATTAAAATATTGGCAAGGTAGAAGAGCTTTGTTGAGATATGTTGTTCTGTCTTTATACTGTGTATTCTTCTTAGACGCAAGTCTGCCTATTTTGTTCAACTCAAAAAGATGAAAACGGCTGAATCAATTTAACGTATATAGTAGTATATTCACAAGGTGAACTGTGGAGCAGCTACCCTGATTAAATTAGGGATATTGGAGAACTAACTAGTAATACTTTCTATGTCATATTTTCCACGATGGTTCCTCATTTTATCTACAGGTGTTAAAAGCAGAGTCTTAGTAAACAGACTAGTAATTCAGGAGGACTATAAGAAAAATATAAGTATACAGTCTGACAGCAAGTTAGTTATATGTAAACCTAAGGAAGAACTTTAATGGACATGTTTATATAGTCCCTAATCAAGATGTTTAAAATCAGACCTATAAAGATAATTAAAATATCTTATAAGTACAGTAGTTTAGTTTATTCCCAAAATCTTCCAGTAACTTAATGGTATGCCAGTATTTCAGGCTATATTCACAGGTGAGTGCTTGGTGTCATTCAAGACAGCACAAAAAAAGCCAAATCAAATGATCAAGAATATATGAAGAGAGAATTAATGTCTTCCTTTCAAATTAGTTAAGTCCCATAAAAATAGGCCAGGGGATCACACTGTAAGGAGATGGTAGACAGCCTCTAGTTTCTCTGAACTTTGATCTCTTTGCCATGACATGCTGGGCTGAATTACATCATCCTGCTGTTTGGTGGAAGCCTAACTACTGTTACATTAAACTGAAGACAGTTCTTAAGGGGCAACACTATTATGCCAAATAAAAGCACGCTTTCACCCACAGTCCTGTGTATCTTCTAGATGGACTGTAGTATCAAAGCTATCACGCCTTATTTGACTCTTCTGAGGTACCAGTTCTCCCCAGCTGTGTAAGCAAGCCAGCGTAAATCTAGCCCTACCCTTACTCAGCAAGAGCTAAACCTGGACAGCTATATTTCACTTCTCAGTAGACATGAACTAACTAGATAACCCTTTTAGAACTAAACCATTCTGAGAACATCCATGTTTTCTTACCAAAAGCCTTAAAAACCTATATTTACAGTCTGACTACCCCTAAAGAGCTACCAAACCCCTTGGGGCATGGAAAAAGAGTGAAAAGACAGGGATGGGGGACCGGTCTTGGCAGTTTGTTCTCACCTCACCTGGTTTCTGACTGAACAACTATGGTAAACTTACCAGACTTCCTATGGCTTCCCCTCCCTGACAATAATTCTCTCTTGAAAGCAAAATGAAGGCAGACCATTAAAATATGCCGCCTTCATCAATGTGTGCATTTTTTCCTTCTTTTTCCAGATCCATTTGATGTTGACTCAGGAAAAGAATTTTCCAATCCCAACAGACCAATCAATTCCCCAGGGTAATGAAATTTAATTTAAATACTATTTTTCTTGTTGCCAATTGTTTCGCTTTTATAATCCTGAAAAATGTTTCCAGACTAGCACAAAGTACTGAAGAATCTGAGGAGGACAGCGTGAGCACGCTGGATGATGCCAGTGAAAGCAGTGATGAGAGCAGTCCAGAAGATGATGGTACTGTAAAGTTTCTGGAACAACAGCCAATAAACCAACTATTTGAAAAGTAAAAAAAAAACCCAAAAACACACCCCCCAAACCTAACCAGAAACCCCAACAAAAAACAAAAACAAAAAACCCCACAAAACCCCTATATACCACAAGAACATAAAAAACCTCAACAATCCCAAAGAGTTGTAACATAAAGAAATTTTCTTGTGAACAGTTAAGTGTAGCTTGTTCACCCATAACTTGGTGTGCTTAGTAAATGCCTTCCTTTAGGTGAACCTCAGTCTATATGTGGATTTGTAGGTCTATTTATGCACATAAAGGCCTTAAAAATTAAGTAACTTAAGATAATTATGGCATTTAATTATTATGTAAAGAACTTGAAGCTTAGTTATGAGTTAAAAAAACATTCTAATCAATGTGTCTGGAGAGTGGTATGCAGGGATTATTTTTACCCAATAGTACATTAAGTAAATGCTTCTAACTTCTGGGCTATATTTCAACTGGAAAACATGATTAAGTTATTGCCCTGTTCCAAGTACCTACCACATAAGAAGCCTCTGACTTTTTTGCAGGCTTGAACCTGCCATATGTATTTCAACTACTCCATCTAGTTTAGGGTAAACTGACTACCTAAGCTTAAAAAGAATAAAATGCTTCCTGGAATTCTTTTAAACATCTCAGTATATCTTTTCAGTAACTTTACATGTGGGTTTTGGGGTTGGTTTTTTTTAGTCTGAGAGACAGTCCTAAGCAACATACAATGTTTTGAACTTTATATTCAGAACTATACCATAAAATTTCAGGTAACAGCTTCAGCATTCTCATTACTTGAAGTGGCACTCTTAAGTCAGAAATACACATTGTCTGGCCCTTAAAGATTTGAGTCAGAGACTCTCATCAGCACTAGTATTGTCGTTCACTTTTCCATATGCCTGCCAGTTTGTATAGTGAAAGTGCAGCTGCTAGCAGTTGTCTTCTGTACCTTTAAATAGAATACTCTCTTGAGTTTACAGCACCCAACTGGAACTTGTTTAAACCTAAACTTCAGCTACCCTCCAGTAGAATTGGAGGTACTGAGGACAATTCATAGTGATACCTTCTTATATAAAAGTTCTTCAAGTCACAGCAAGATTTTCACCTCTTGACCCTCCTGTACTAGAGAGATTAAATGCTAGCCCTGCTGGAGCTAGAATTGGGAGTGACAGCAGCAGTTTTAATGGTACAAATACTCCATTTCCCTTTAAAAAGAAAGAAAAGAAACCCAAGTAAATGAGTTTAACAGGAAATCTTTTCCTTTAACTCAGTTTGTCAGTCACTCACTTTCCCAATCCAAGCAGCTGAAGTCTCCCAAATCAGCTGTTGTAACGAAGATTTCTAGATAGTGACAAGGAAACAATCCTACACAATTTTTAAAGGACTGAGAATAATGTCAATGTAGCTATTCTAATTTGGGGGAATGCTTTATGTTATAAAGGTATTGTAATCAAATGTGCAGGCAAGCAGAACAGATCTGAGAACAGAGCTGTATTACACTTAAAATAACTTGTGTCTAGCAGTAGCCATTTTAAAAAAGCACTGAAGACGCTACAGCTCAGATGGAATAAAGCTTTTCACACTTCATTTGTTTTGCAGAATGATTTTGACTAAAAAATACAATTAAAAAAGCAGTGAAAGTTTAATAGAGGCCATACCAGCTTGACATACATGAAAATAACTTACATATTTAACTGATTTCCTTTACAGAAGGAAGCTAATTGCATAGAGCACGTCCTTTTCCTAAAAGCTATATACATTAACATATGGAAGAAGGCACAGAAGTATTTTTGATAAACGAGTACCATGTAAAATCCCCAGTTGCTTCTGTTACTGTTCATATCAGTCTAATGCCTGTGTTATTTTATGTCAATGTGGTCACACCAGTATGTTGATCCCATTATGCACATTAAGCAGCTGGTCTCTACCTAGTCATGAATTCCATTCGAGCTGTTTAAGGAATTGATCAAAGTTGAATAGTTGCAATTACCATGCTGGGCCCAAAGAAGGGCCACATTGATGTTGGGGGTGAGGGCAGGGAAAAAAAATGAAGGCAATATCTAAACAAAGTGCAGCATCACAGGCCTTAAAAACAGGACTTGCACTGAAGTGTGTTCCAAGCCACTTAAATGGCAGTCTTTTAATAATTTTAATGAAGATAAATGAAACAAAGCCCTTTATATAAACAGTTTATTTACTCTAAACAGCAACACAGACAGAACGCCATATAAACACAAAGGAAGTGATGCAGAATAAAGATGCTGGCTGACTTTGGATCTCAGAGGCTCTTAAGCAATAACAACCTAGTTTCTGAAAGATAGAAAAACAAGTTCAGGGAGGGAAGGGGGTGGAGGGCATGATTTTTTTTTTTTTCCCCATACAGCCAGCTAGAGGCTAAGTATAGTTCTAACATTTTAAAGCATGCCTGCATCAGATAGCAAAGTAACTAGAGATACTAGTGAATTTATAGAAGTATAAAAGTTTATAATTTTACAGCAGTTGAAATACTGACATCAATATTAAAATAAAAGCAAGTTTTACATAACAATCAAAAATACAAAAGACTGAAGGAAGAGACCCTGTATGAAAAAACTGGGGGCAATTCAGCAAGTTTAGAACTGTATACAAGTGGCGAATATGGAAAATGGCACACATACAACCCCCTCCCCTAAGTGGATATTAATTGTACATAGCAACATTAGATTTTGCAAAAATTTTGTAAACAAGTTCTTGCCAAACCAATCCCTTCCTTTTTAAGATGCTGCATGACAGATGCTTATGATGGTGCAAACTTCTTGGCTTGTGCTCGAACCCTCTTTTCATATTCCACTCTGTTTTGGCTGAATAGAAGAGAGAGAAAGGGTAATTACAGCTTGAGAAATCAGAGGCCATATTATACTTACTGTTCTTCTATTTCTCTTCAATATGAAACTAAGTCATTGCTGAAGGCAAAACCATTAGGTAGGAATTCAGTGAACACTACATTATGTTAAAGGTTTTTCTGGACCATTACTCTGATGATTATCTTCGGAGGGAAGTAAGGTACTATGTAACTAGTTACTTCCCAAGCTTCCTCTGTTGTCAAATGATTGTACTATCTGACTTCGTACCATACCAGTCTCTATAAAAAGGTTTGCGCCTGCTCTTTCTCAAGGCCAGATGTAGCTTACATGCAAGCATTCTTACTCATCTGAACATAAATTTTCCACTCCCCATGTTACGACCTGAGGTCATTAACAGTAAATTCCAGTGGTTGAAGAGAGCAGTTCGCAACAGTTGGTGAACTTCATATGATTTTAAAGTTTACTGCTTTGGGGAGGGAGGGGAAGTGCTCTTTAAGAAACGGGAAAATGGTAATGGTATGGTAGTTTCAGCCTTTATCTCTGCAGACTCAGACTAACAGGGTTAGATTTACCCTAACCTCAGCTGAAAAAGAAGCTAGCTCAACATTTTGAAAAAACATTGTAGTTCACTAAGTCTAGCATACTTGCTACAGATTGATTAAACAAGCAAGTAGTATTTCAAGGAGCTACGACCAGTCATTAAGCCTCAGACTCTTTTTTTTTTGTTTTCTATTCTTGCACCAACAAGGGATGGTAGTAGCTTAGTAGAGCATCCATGTACATTCAACACCGTATTTTAGCTGTCAGAAGTGTCTGTCAAGAGCTAAACAAAAATTTGTTAACATTACTCTTGTGTCAAAGGTAGTTTACAGTGACTAGATTTTGCAGACAGCCTTGCAGTAAACTTAACTTACTTTCAGCTATGAAGGGTTGCTGCAGTAAAAAAAAAAAAAAAGGCAGCAAATTATATCCTCAGAAGTTGACAGTTTGGGGAGAAGAAATTAAGCCAATTTTGGTCACATCCAATGAACAATCACCACCAAACAGACTGCAAATACTCTAGCTTCTTCTCATAAACAAATTTACAAATTTTAGAATAAACTTTTTTCTTCAAGTTATACTGCATTGTCACATGAGAACACAACCTAGCTGTTAAGTCTCACACCCTCAGAATCCACACAAAAGAGTGCCTGCCATAGCAGACTCTGCATGCCTACAGCAGAGAGGAAGAAGTAGCTTAGCACATTAAGACTGCTAAAGTTATAGAGCAACAGTACCAAAGCAATCCTGAGAATGAGAACAAGTATTCTTATTTTGAGTACAAAGTTTATTCTTGAAGTTTAACAGCTTGACTAAAATACATCTATTTAAACAACACTGTATCTTGCCCAGTATTTATCAACTATGCCAAATTACAGATGCGTACACAATCCTGCTCTGTTGAGCTATTTCTACCAGTTACTCATTAGGTAGTAGAAGACACACTTTCAGACTGCAGAAATAGAGTAACCCATCTGAAATACTGTGTGTGTCCAAAAGACATGAAGAGGATAAATAGGATACTATATATATATTTGAAGTAACAAAAAACATGTAATAGTTTATTCCCAATAGATAATTTTTTCCCAGAAGCGCTTACAGTAAAGCAGAAACAAGACTAGCAAAGACTGTTTTTGTACATATATGCATGTGGGAGGTGATAAAAAAATAAAACACAAAGACTATTTATACATGTATAAAAGTATATTATTCCTGCCCCAGATTCCTTCAGTGGCTTTTTTTTTTTTTTAAAGAAAAAAAAAAAAGAGGGGGGAGTTCTGCCTCATCATTACTGGCTCCCAAAGGTGCTGCCTACAACTGTGGCCACCTAACTGTCCTCCATATGCACTCAGTCCCATCAAGTCTTCAGTAGATACTTAAAAAAAAATAACATTGAGCAAAGCCTTTAATTAAATCCAAGACACATTATCCATCCCCACGTTTCCTTTTCACTAGGACCTTGTAACAGACATTTTTGACATGCGTGTGAAGTCTCATAAAATGCCATTTTTCAAACTTTGCACTCTCCTGGAGACATCTGTCCAGAGTGGTAATTCCACATTTCCATCTTGGTCATTATTTCAGTAGCTGTCAGTACCAAAAGCATTTTTTTAAAAGTGTTTTGCTCCCATAAAGATTATCGA